TTGTTTATAGTTTTGCTATGGAGACATCGGATGACTCGACTTATGGAGTCCTCCACAGTTATTCACAAATAGTGTATTGACACGTGTCCTACAATAAATACACTTTGAACATGATTTAATAGAATTTTTGCCATTGTTTGTATATGAAAGTATATTCCATTCACACTCAGTTTATACTCAATCTAATTCAACTTTAACCTAACTACATTATGTTCAATATTATTAATATAATTAAATAATACTATCTAATTATTCTTACACATCACATCGATTGTAATTTATTATTCACCAATTCACATAATTTTAGCTAACAATTACTTCACAACATACGTCTTCCCCTTTTACTTTTACATCAAATCAACTGTAATTATTTTATTTTAAATATTATTTTCATATAAAGTCAAAATTCCACTTTATATATTCTTTTTGTTTTGTTTAGATTTTTTGGTTTGATTTGGTTAGTTTTGAAAAAAGTGGTGTGATTAGTTGTTAGTGATTATATTAAAATAATATTTGAATTAAAATAATAAAAGTTGATTTGATGTAAAAATATGAGATAAATGATCTGAAATGATGATTAGTTAAAATAATACGAGTGGATAAATAGTGAATTAAGATTGATGTGGTGTGTATGAATTATTGATTGATATTATTTAATTATATTGATAATATTGATGATAGTGAAATTGAATTAAAATTAAGCTAAAAAAAAATTGAATTAAAATATTCTGAATTTTTAAAAATTTATATAAACAAACTCGCTGAATCTGAGAAATGGGATTTGTTTTGTCCAACGTGGTGGCCTAACAATCCCACCCAACAACTTGCGTGAAAAACTGAAAATAGGAACTTTTAGTTGGGTTTTTTTTACAATTACGCTAAATATGAGGTGCTTCTACAATAATATTTCAAAATCTTCACCACGAGGCACGAATCGCGTCCATCAGTGAATCTCACAATTGCCAAGCCGCAGTCTCGAGCGTGTAAAACACGCTCCATCATCACTGTCAAAATATACATCTCACCTTCATCATCACAACACAACGGACACCACTAACTCCAAAACCGTGCACTCACGTGGACCCACTCTCTCTCTGTCATCATCTTCATCTACACATCACACAGACACACACACACACAGCTAAACTTATATGTATGTGTATATTGTTGGAATTATGGAGCTTAATGTGATTGATCGTGCATGGTTTATGTTTGTAAGAATATTGGTTTGGCATCATGTCCGACAAACCTAAGTGTTTTCTAGAAGATTTCTTGTTAAGCAGGCAAAATAAATTAAAGGGAAGTTTTTCTATTTATTTACTTGTGATTTAATTAAGTTCCTAATATTTATTATTAATAATATATGGTATATATTTATTGTAGTATGTATTATGGAATCCTAATCCTTTAGGAGAAGAATTACATAATATATATTATATATTTACCATATATGCCACATGCCATAATTAGTTCTCTCTTTCTTGTAGGACAAGGAATAGGTGGCAAGGACTATGAAAGGATGAGCTTTCCATACAAGAAGAGTTCTGGACATTCATGAGAAGATCTAAGGAGAATTTGGAAAGATTCACCACAAGATCTTTGAAGATTTGGAAGATCGGCTATTTTTGGAAAGTCATGTTCTTACCAGATTCTTGGAACGCTTTTTTCCATTGGAAGCTCAATTCTGAAGATCTCCAAATCACATGCACGATTTCTACATCAAGGAAACTTACCTTAAATGGAGGATTTCGTCCAAATCAGAAAGGAATCAATAGAGAAGGAAATTGACTCCTAAAAGGTAAAGGAAGAACTGTGAAGACTCCTTACCTTAAGGAGGTTGTATATAAGCCTACTCAAGCAATCAATTGAAGATAAGTGAGCTGCTGCAAATCAAGTTCATCATTCATCAGCTTCAATTGAGTGTTTGAGAGTTTCTTTTATTTTTATTTTATTCGGTTCAGTTTTTCAGCGTTCTTACATTGCTGAAGAACTGAACTCGTTTTGTTTCTTTTCTTTTACAAACACTTTATTTTAGTGCTTAGTGATTAAGTACTGGGTTTTGCTCGAGGGATTCGAGTGTGTAAAGTCCACGGGACGTGGCCGGAGAAGTAGTTGATAGGATCGTGTGTAGTTGTGGCTAGACTAGAAGGGAGTTCGAGGCGTGTAAGTCCAAACTATACAAGTGTGAACGGTTTATCAATGAAAGAGCTCTGAGGGGAAGTGGGACGCTTCCCTGAAGAGTTTTAAAAACTTCGGTTTATTGCTTCCGCTATTTACGTTGTTTATCCACGTTCGTACTATATTTCGCGCACTCGCAAGTAATTATACGTTTCAATTGGCACCAAAGCAGTGTTCCTGTTCTAACTACGGGATAAAGATCTTTGGGACTGTGTGTCGGTCACCATGAACCACGGCATGTC